GTGGCCCATCGTGGGCTCTTGACAAACACTGATTGACTAAAAGAACAAAGGTGGTCCTCTTCTCTGCCACCAACACATGCAGCATCCTCCAGATAACACCTACTCCATTTTACAGGGAACCCAGGGCCTGGCCTCCCACCCCGATGCTGAACAGGACCCGGGCATCGCTCCTTCCAGACGCCTCCTTCCCACCAGAGCCGCAGCCGGTGACCAGGAAGCACAGCAGAGACGCAGAGCAGCTCGTCCCATCTCAGTGAAGGCAGGCGCAGGGTCCACACCCACAGAGGCGCCCCTGGGCAGCACCACCCTGGGTGACCTCCCTGGTGCTGTGGGAACAGTGGCTGGGCAGAGCGATGCCAGCCCTCCGTGGGCCGGGGCGGGCCGGGGCGGCAGTTCACGCACTTCAGACGTGTGTGTGTGTGAGCGCCCTTCATAATAGGGCTTTGTCCCGGCCCCAGTGAGCCAGCGTCTACAGAGCCCTGGGAGGCCAAAGGCATCAGCCCACATACACAATGCCACCTTTCAGCTCTGGGAGGTTCTGTCCAGAGCCCGGAAATGCAAGAGCATCCAGGGAGAAGCAAGGCAGATCCTAGGAGGCCATCTGCCAATGCCTCTCTCTGGGGCTGGAGGAACGCCAAGAAGTCAGCACCTCTCCCCTAGGCATTTGCAGAGAGGAACGCGATGTGGACCATGAGGAAGAGGGAGGAAATCTCTACCCACTGGGTGCTTGCTGTATGCCAAGCACTGTGCCAGGCACTTGAGATTCTTTGTCTCACCTCTGGGAGGGTACATTATCGTACCCATTATACAACTGGATAGACTGGGGGTCTGAGTAGTAAAGTGACCTGCCCACAGTCCCCAAGAACCCGGGTGTCTCTTCCTCCAAGGCCTGTGCTCTTTCCCCTCTTCCTCATAGAATCTCCCTCTCCAAACATCCACAGACCTCTCTCACCTCTGCTGGAACAGACCCAGCTGGGTAGAATGGCATTTGAATCCCTGAGCACCCACCCCCCCACCCCATCCCCCGCAGCTTCAACCTCACTCAGCTTCTTGCTCCACCTGGGTCATTCTGAGCAGGGAGAACTTGCTACAAAATGTTGTTTCATTGTCCGCCCCCCAACTGCCCTGCAATACCCTCTCTTCTCCCAGTATGGTCAGGAAAGGCATCAGAACCTGGCCTGTCCCCAAGGCTCCGTCGCTCACCCTTCACCAGCTGGGCTGTGGCTCCAGGGGCAAATACTCGGCGCTTTCCCCAGACCAACTGAGGACCAGTTGAACTCCCCTCCAGGGAAAACTGTGGTTCACCACCCTCTCCTCTCCCATGGGCCACGTCTCAGCATCCAGAGACAGTGAGAGGGGTGAGAAGACCTGCCCTAGGCCATTGAGGCTGTAATCAGGGACAGCACCATGAGCTCTGAAAAACTGGTCCAGTGTTCAAGCTCACCATCTACACCAAGCCTTTCTCCATCTACACCAAGCCTTTCCCCATCTCCATGTACACTTGGCAGGGCATCCAAGATGAGGTTTGCTTTTGTAAAAGCCTGGGGACTAGAACTAGAGATTCTTTGCCAACAGAAGGCAGCAGAAGGCATGAGACCAGCAGTGGAAGAGTGGCGAGGTGACCTGAGTGTCAGAAGCAGAAAGACCTGGGTTCGAGTGACAGCTCCACCAGTTCCAAGCTGTGTGAACTAGGGTGAATTCCTTAACCTCTCTGAGCTTCTGTTTCATCATCTGTATTTGGGGCAAAGAATCTTCATCATCAGCCTACCTCATAAGTGTGTTCTGTGCTCTTGGCACAAGAAATGCTCCAAGAAGTTTTTCTGTAAATGTTACTATTGACATCTTTATCATCACCCTCATGCTTTAAGGCTGAACTGTGTTTCTTGTTGTCTGGGGAACCTAGACAACTGGGTCTCATTTCCTTTATCTAGAGAATAAAAATAAGACTCTCTACTGTGGAAGGATCCAATAAGATAACATGCATTGTTTTGTGTGACACCCAAAGAGAATCATATCATCAGCTCTCTGATCAGTTCAGTAGTTCAGTTGACTCTTTGCCACCCCATGGACTGTATCATGCCAGGCCTCCCTGTCCATCACCAACTCCCAGAGCTTTACGCAAACTCGTGTCCTTTGAGTCAGTGATATCATCCAACCATCTCATCCTCTGTCGTCCCCTTCTCCTCCTGCCTTCAATCTTTCCTAGCATCAGGGTCTTTTCAAATGAGTCAGCTCTAAGCATCAGGTGGCCAAAGTATTGGAGTTTCAGCTTCAGCATCAGTGCTTCCAATGAATATTCAGAACTGACTCTCTAATAGGTGTTTGCTTGTTTGTTTCATTTGTCAGATCAACTCGATATGCCTAGTCCTCAAAGATAATGATACTCAGGGCCACCGCTGATGGCGAGCTGTCAAGCGAGGGGGCCCAGACCATCAGGGGCTGCGTCACAGCAACTAAAGTGGCGAAGTCGGAGCCACGCCCACGTCCAGAGGACAGTCTGCCTGGAGCGCAGCCAAATCTCAGTGCCATGGAGTGCAGCCACAGGGACCGCTCATCTTCAAGGTGATCTTTGGGAACCATCTGTGTGTCCGAACTGGAAGTACAGACACTGAGCCGGCCCTGCCCTCCTTCCATCTACGTGGCTGCTGGCTGCAGGTCAGGGAGTGCCTACAAAGGGAGGAAGACCCGCCAAATCAAGGCACTACTCTCAGCTCCTCCTGGCCCCTGCCTGCCCCTGCCTGCCCCTGCCCCCACCCCAGGCTCACCCAGGGCAGGGGTGAGGGGATGCTCTATGCTCAGGGCCCCCTCGGTTTCCTCTCCATCCTCCCCACGCCTGGCTCTCCCCCTCCCTCCCTCCTCCTCTCCTCCCTCCTCTTTTCATCCGTCTCCTCTCTCCCCTGTTCTCCATCCCAAGTAGCGAATCTTTATGGACACTTGATCATAGGACAGGCCCGAGGTGGTCAGTCCATTATAATGTCTCTTTCTTCCAGCACCCTGGGAAGGAGGAAACCAAGCCTCAGAGGGGCTAAATAACGTGGCCAATGTCTCTCGGCTGTATACCCTTGAGGGACTCAACGACAGAGTAACTGCAGATTCAGAGGAAAGAACTACCCAAGTAATATTCATCAAGGGAGTGCCTGAGAGACTAATGGTACCAGTGAATATTTCAAAGCCCAAATTTGATCTTGCGCCTGCCCAGGGTAAACCTCTGATAGGCCACCGTGACTTTCAGACTCCAGCCCGAGTCCTTGCCTGGCATTCAAAGCCCAGGTGTTGGCTTTTGCCCAGCAGCAGCATCTTCTCCCCAATGGCCCAGTGGCAGCAGGCACCGTCCAGCCTTGTGAGCAGCCTCCTGAGACAGCCATGCTTCTGAGCTCAGCACGTGGTCAGCCAGAGGGCAGCCCCCTGTCCACTCACCTGGCACTCCAGAGAACCCCTGCTCCGCCCTACGCTCTCACCTACACACAGCCTCCTGTGAAGGCCTCCGGGTCCTCCCGAGCAGAGTCGGTGACTGTTCCCCGGCTTCCGAGGTTCCATGGTCCAAGTCCTCTGTGGTGGTCTGTGGATGCTGCCGTCCCACTCATCCTCTGGGCTCCAGTGTCCGGGGTTGGATTTCGTCCTCCCAAAATTCAGATGCTGGAGTCCTCATCCCCAGTGCCTGAGGACATGATCAGGATTGGAGAGAACGTCTTTACAGAGGTTAAGTTGGGCCATCAGGGAGGGCCCTGATCCCATATGACCGGTGATCTCAGAAGAAGGGGAAATTTGGGCCCTAGAGAGACAGACATGCAGACATGAGGATGGCCATCAACAAGCCAAGGATGAAGGCCCGGCTAGAGTCCCCCTCACGGCCTTCAGAAGGAGCCCACCCCAAGGGCATCTTCATCTTGGACCTCCAGGACCATGGGACGATCCGTTTCTGTTGTTTAACACACCCGCTTGGCGGTACTTAATCACAGAAGCCCCAGGAAACTAACCCACCTGGGAGCCAGAACTCTCGTCTCATGTTTGAACCCCGTGTCCACCTCCATGTCCATGGTCCCTGAGTAGACGACACTGGTGAGAAAACTTAAGGGTGATGGACAGGTGTTTTAGGGTCAAAACCTCAACAGATCTTTGCAACAAATTAATCTAGTAATTGGAGCTCTTTTCCTCTGCTGGCCAGCAATTTTCAAATAATACACCCTGGCAAAGAGAAGTGGGGTGGGAAGCAGGGGCCTTCACTGAGTCTAACCCAAGAGCATTTATTGAGCGCCTGCTGTGTACCTAGGATAGGCTTCTATGGGTCCCTAAAGTTCTGGAGCAGACCCATGATAAGTTACTGCAATAGAAGACTTCTTCCAACACATGTGCTCTTGCACACACACACGTGTGCTCACACATGTGTACATGTGCTCACACAATGCACATGCTTACAAGCACACATGTGCACACATATACATACTCACCTACACAGACAGTTTCTCACACATGAACACATGTGCTCACCTACATGGACACAAGCACACTTACGAGTGTGCTCGCACACACACACACACACATTAACAGGCAGAATTTTCTGCTTCAGGTTGTTCCTCTCCTAAATTTCTCTTAACCTTTTGACTTCTCATGCCAGCAGAAGCTATCACCTAACAGCTTCAAACTATATTTAGCGCATTTAGTCATTTTAGGTTGGAAATGCCAGCAGTGTTTCACGACATTCCACACAGTACGTCACGACCCTTTCTTTTTTTAACTTACCAATGTCAGGAGTGTCCAAACTGCTGTTAAAAAAAAAAAAAATTTTTGTTTGTTCCAAGGAGATGGAGGAGTTTACATAGCCGAGTACTTACATTACAAAGTCGAGTTCATCCACTAGTTCAAGGAACACCAATGAGCTCTACCATGTGTGGGGCGCATGGAGCAAAAGAGGTGACCGAGAACAGGGACCGCGTCTCCACGAAGACCCCCGAGGCCCAGGGCGTGCGAGGCCCACGCGGGCATCGAGGGGAGGCAGCTGGATGCACGGTCCTGTCCTGCACCCGCCCGGGCCCTGCCTGCGGGGCCAGCGCAGCCTTGGGTGCTGGGCGGTGGGACAGCGGGAGATCGGCCGAACCCCAGGACGAGCCTTAGCTGCCCAGTGCTGCCCAAACCGTGAGAGCAAGCCTCGGGTAAGAGCATCCGTAGGTCAGGAGGTGACCAGGGAAGGCCAGGCAACTAAGGCCAGGGCCAGATGGAGATCGCAACCCAGGAAATCTCCAAACCCTCTCACCTGCGATTCATCACATGCACGTCTGTCTGTCTGCCGGCTGTGGGCTGTTTGAGAGCTCAGCCTGCATCCCTGCCCTAGCCTGGTGCCCGCTCCACAAACACAGCCTACAGCCGACATCACAGCAGATCTTCAGGGTGGGGTCTGATTCCCTCAGAGCTTCCGGGGGCTCTGCCTTTCCTAGCTCAGAAACCCTGCCGGCCCAGCATAGCGCCCGCCCCACTGTGTGCCAACCGGCCCTCCCCCTGGGACCCAGACCCGAGCTGGAGTCATGAGAAGTGATGGTGGCTGAGCAGCAGCTGTGTGCAGGCACGTGCTGGGCGCCTGTACCCTAGGAGACGTGGGGCGATCGGCCCTGCACACCCTGCGTGTGCCACTGTGAGCACGTGCCCAGAGCAGCCACGGTCTCCACACCCACAAGTCTGTCCTGCTCTGGTCTGAACTCTGCATTGCTCACGGACCCGAGGAGGATGATGACCACAGTGATGACACACGGCCTGAGACAGTGCACGTCCCACAGGCAGGCACGTGCTGAGCACCAGACACTTATTCTCTCATGGAGTCCTTGCCAACCACCCCTGGAAGGAAGCGCTCTTGTGCCCATTTGACAGATGAGTATACTGAGGCATAGCCAGGAAGCCATGCAGCTCACAGTTGGCCACGCCAGCTTCCCCCGGACTCTGACCTGCTCTGGCAACCATTCTGAGGACTTCCTCCTCGTGCATGGGGGTGCTGGGAGGTGGCCAGCTTTGCCCAGAGAGAGCCCTATGAGAGCCTCCCCCATCCACAGGCTCATCGTCCCCACCTCATAGGGGAGCTGGGCCTCCCGGAGGCTGGGAAGGTGGCCAGGGTCAGAAGGTGGTAGGAGGAGGCTCCTCACCACGGGCAGAGCCAGGTGAGGGTGCTTGAAGGTTAAGGGCCCTCGTCAGGAAGTTGGAATCATGTTGGGGAAAAGCCAACTGGAAGCAGAGCCTGGGACTTGCTGGGTCACAAGGGACAAAGATAGCTTCCATCTGACCCGCCGGTCAGCTGAGGACCACAGCTGTTTGAGTCTGAGGGTGAGAACTAAATGCCTCCCACTCACACCCAAGGGTTTCTCAGGTGATACAGTAGGTAAAGAATCCGCCTGTTATTGCAGGAGACACAAGAGAAGTGGGTTCGATCCCTGGGTCAGGAAGATCCCCTGGAGGAGGAAATGGCAACCCACTCTAATATTCTTGCCTAGACAATCCCATGGACAGTGGAATCTGGCAGGCTACAGTCCATAGGGTCACAAAGAGTCAGACACGACTGAGCACGCACACACACACACACACACACACACATGCCCAAAGGTGAAGCAGCCTCCTGCACCATGGCCTCACCAAGGGAGAGCACACCTTGGAGCCTGGTTTGAGCCCGGCTCCAGTGAGCCCAGCTCCAGCCATCTGTGAGCTGTGTACCAATGGAACATCAGGAACCTCTCTGAGCCTCAGAGGCTTCCCTTGAAGAATGGAGACAGAAACTTCCCAAGACTTCTTTGTAATTTCAAAGCATGTTCTCCCACAGTGCCTGGCACTTCATAGAAAAAACCAATCCTCTTTTCCCTGGGAAGAAGCTAGAGCCTTCAACCAGTTCTCCTCCTCCCAATCCCAGCCCTTTGCATGTTACTGAGTCAGCACATGCATGCTAAGTCACTTCCGTCGTGTCTGACTCTCTGTGATCCTGTGGACTATATAGCCCACCAGGCTTCTCTTCCATGGGACTCTCCAGGTAAGAATATTGGAGTGGGTTGTCTTGCCCTCCAGGGGATTGTCCCAACCCAGAGGATTGTCCCAACCCAGGGATAGAACCTATGTCTACTGCAACTCCTGCATTGCAGGCAGATTCTTTACCACTGAGCCAGCAGGGAAGCCCTCCCTCATCCAGGCCCCTACCTAATCCAGCTGAGCTGAGTCCATGGGGAGGAGGCAGACACTATGGGAGCTTTCACCATGGTTTCCTGGGACCCCCAGGGACCCCACTCTCCCCAACCCTAGGCTTACCCTTGGCCTCTGTGAGGGGGTAGAGGAAGCACAGGCCTACATCCACGCCTCATTTGGAACCCTTACCTGCCTCACCCCATAGACCCATCATGCAACTCTGCAAACACACCATTGTTCCCATTCTGCAGATGAGCAAAACCAAGGCTCAGTTGTTGGACTCCCCCGGCTCACTCATTTGGATCCAACCCAACTCAGCTGAACCCCAACACCCAGCCACACACCCCAGAACCACGTGGGACCCAACCTAATGGCAAGTTCATCACACACACCCCAGCTCTGGAAATGAGAACCGCTCCTCGGCTGGAAAACGGGCAAGAGCGACCCGCGCCGCGCCAATCATCCGGAGGAACATATGCATTTCAAGGATGGAACAGTTGCATGCTCTTTTCTACCCAAACTTAATATTTTGCATGTTCCTCTCTCAAACACCACCAGCTTTCCCGACGCCATGTTGCGTAAGCCCCAGAGATATTTTCTCTCTTCTGTTGTACCCCACACAGCGGCTGTCTTCTGAGAAAAGAAATCGACCAAGGGACAGAATCTTGTAAATATTCCAGCCATTCACTTATCCAGCATAATTACCCTGCAAAGAGCAACATTTGGGCCTCCATTCACTAGCAGATCACTAACTGCATTATGCAATCAGACGGCACACGCGGATAGCGGGTTTGCAACGTGCCCAAGCTCAAATGGGCCATCACAGGCTTCCAGGAGTCCCCATGGACCCAGATGGACATGGCCCAGTGACACCTGCCTGGGGGAGGGCCACTGGGAAAGGTGAAGGTGAGCTCCTAAACATGGGCACTTCACCTCCTTCCTTCCACCCCATCTTTCTTCACCGGGGCCCAGTGACTTAGTCTGCTCAGGCTTCTGGAAATAACAAAACAGTCTGGGTGAGCTAACACAGAGACATTGATTTCTCGCGGTTCTGGGGGAGGGCAAGTCCAAGATCAAGGTCGATTTTGTTCTTGCTGGGACTCCCTTCCTGTAGACAGCCGCCTTCTCCCCGTGACCTTACAAGGCAGGAGAGAGGGTGTCAGCCCTATGGAATTAAGGCCCCACCCTCGTGACCTCACTTGATCTTTATCACCCTCTCACGGGTGCCGTGTCCAAATACAGTCACCCTGGGAGTTAGGGCTTCAGCCCATGAATCTGGGGGTCTTTGGGACACAGACCTTTAGTCCATAATATCCAGGGTCAGCATCTCTCCCCTAAGTTATCACAACAGCCCCCTACCTGGCCTCCACCCAGCAGCCAGTGAGATCTTCCTAAAACCCAAATCCAATCAGGTCCCTTCTCCGATTCTGTGTCACCCTGTCATGTTCAGAGGGTAGTCCCCCCAACACAGGTTTTCACGGTCTACAGTCCCCACACATCTGACCAGCCTCTGGTTTTGACAGACCCGAGTGCCCGCACACACACACTCAATCACACACAAGCATACTTACACAAGCACAATGCCATTTCCTCTGCCTGGGTTGCTTCTCTGTTTCCGCACTCCCATCTGGTGAGTGAACATCTACTGACCCTTCCAGTCCAAGATCAAGAATCTCATCTTCCCAGGGGCTTCTCGGCCTTCCCTCCACCTCCAGGCTGGATCCCATACGATGGTGTGCAGCATTACATCAAAGCTGCCTTGTTTACAAAGAAGATGACTCTATGTTTCAAACAGTAACTATTACTGTTATTTTTAATTTTGCTAACCTACTGGGCAAAATATAAGGCATGTTTTATGTTGCATGCTCTGTCTTGTGAGGTTGGCTGTTTTTCTACGTACTTGCCAATGGGATACCATCCTGTTAGAATGATCCATTTAAATTGTTTACTAACGGAGTTCTGCTAGTTTTCTTGTTAATTTTCAGGAGCTCATTACACAAAGTAGGGACCCAAAGATATTCACTTCCACATCATTTACGATGACAAAAATACTGATGATAACAAGAACAGAGTCCTTTAACCATTGATAGGGCGACACTTCAGTAGAATACTGGACAGCTGTCAGAAATGATTACTCTCATGGGACTTCACTGGTGGCCCAGTGGTTAAGAATCCACCTTCCAATGTAGGGTATGTGAGTTTGATCCCTGGTCAGGGAACAAAGATCCTGCAACCCACTAAGCCCTTGAAGCCCGAACCATAACGAAGAGTAAGGGCTGTCAAAATGTTTTTAAATGATGATACTGCAGACTTGGTACCCTGGGCAAGTGCTCATCTTATGATGAGAGGCCAAGGGGGCAGCATACAAAATTGCTCTAATATCCTGATTACAACTTTGCAAAATGAATTGTGTTGGATCCTACAGCTAAAAAGGTGAGCTAGACAACCCAGTACGCAAACACATAAACAGCCTGCTTTAATGCCGTGTGCAAATATTTTGGTACAGAGGAACATAGAAGGTCCTGGAAGCTCTAAGTAGAGGTGTAAGAAAGGAAGACTTCCTGTCTGAGTCGAACCCCAAAGGACTGAATTATCAGTGATGCAGCCAGCGTCTGCCAGACCCGGAGCCCCAGTCACCTGATGTTTGAGCATCACTGACTAGTCCTCCTCTTGGGGACTGAGTCTACTCCTTACCACCTGTCAATGGAGACCTAAAGCAGCTCTATGTGCGTGACCCCACATTCCTCCAGCAACCCTCCAAAGTGGACTTTCTCGTGGTTCGTTTTACAGCAGGAGGAAGCAAAGGTCTAAGAGGTTAGCTCTCTCGGGCTGGGTCACAGCAGCTTCAAACCCACAGCGGAAAATCACCAGGTCGTGCCTTCAACCCCCTATGCGCACGTTTCTAAAACCTCCAACACCAGAACCCCATGGAATGACTGTTAAAAATAAAGACTCTGGGACCCTCCCCACAGGACTGAGTCAGAATCTCTGGAGGTTTGGTCAGAGTATCTGGATTT